CAAAGCAGTACAGATAAAATCCTTTGTTGGTCAGAATGACCAGTATTCCATAGACATCTAGTTAATACAGTATGTACCTGGGTCTCCATTCCCTCTCCTTGGTTGTTCCAATAGAAATGGGTGAAGATGAAGATCTGTATGTTTGTTCCCTTGTAGGTAGAGGAATGTGATTGGACAGAAAACAGCAGGCAGGGCTGTCTGTCTGTCTCTTCCCCCTGTCTGTCTACCTGTTTATTGGGATAGTGTAGACAGAGGTAGCATCAGATGAGTCAGGGTTTGGAAAGGAGGAGTGGTGGAGAGAGGGAGGAGAGAAGGAGAGGAAGGATTGGTGGAAGAGAGGATAGGAGAGTGAGGATTGGTGGCTCTAAAGAGAGAATGAATATTCCGGTGGAGAGCGATTCTCTCACTGCGCTTCTGTCTTTTTTTATCGCTCTTACTCTCAGTCGGTATTCTTGGTGTGATCGAGAGGGATTAAGCCTTCTCTTCGTCCTTCTCCGTTTCGTTTTGTCTTCTCGTGCTTCACTATGCTGTGCGTTTTTTGCTTAGCTGGCTGCTCTCCCTTAGGTTCTCTTCTTTATTTTTTTTTTCTCTCTTCTGTCGCTCCTTGTCTCTTCCTCTTTTTCCGTCGTTGTTTCCTCTCTTGCTTTCGTCTTTTTCGCTTTATTCTTTGTTTTTCGCTTCGTTTCTTCCTCCTTCTTCTTCTTCTTTTTTCTTCTTCTCGTCTTTCTCTCTCTTCGCTGTCTTCGCTTTCTGTTATCCTCGCTGTCTTCTCTCCTCCTCTTCTAATCTTTTTTTCTCCTTTTTCTCTCTTCGCTGCAACACAGCTCCTATGTTCTCTCATTCTTCCTCCTTCGCTCATCCGTTTTTTTCTCTTGTCGCTTCTTCGCTTTACTCCTACTTCTGTGCTGCTCTCCTCCGCTTCTTCTTTTTGGCTCGCGTATGCGGACTCGCCTGCGCGGCTGCTTTTTTCTCTCTTTCGTACCTTTGGCGCGGCGGCGTTGTTTTTCGCGTGTTCTCTCTCCCTTGCCTCTCTTCGTTTTTTCTCCTGCTTCTTTCTCTATCATCTCGGTCGGTCGTTTTTCTTCCGAGTGCGCTTCGCGGTTCCTCTTTCTTCTCTCCTTCTCGGGGCTTTTTTTCCTCTCTTTCTTCCTCGGCCCTGGTCGCTTCTCTTTTTACTTCACTTCTATATTTATTTTTATGCGTCCGTCTCTCCTTTTTTTTTCTCTACTTCTTCTCTCCTTCTCTTCTTTTTTTCTCTCTCATCCTCCGTCTTTTTTTGTTATCCTCTCGCTCCTTTTTCGTCTCTTCTCTTTTCGTCTTGCCTATTCTCTCCTATTCTCTAGTCTTGCTTTTGATTATCTCAGGCGAAACAACCTGATACCCAGGGTGGCAAAGACTTCTTGCTTTTATTCCCCTTCTCTTCTTCTTTTTTATCTCTATAGCCTCATTCCTCTTTTTCCCTTAGGATTGCTCTCCCTGTACAACGATTAACGACTCCGTCTCCTTTTTTTGTGCATGGAATCATTTCCACCCTTCTTCTCTATTCCCGTTTTCCCCCTTGGCTTTTAGTTAGTTGTTCTATTTCTGATGCTTCAAACTGTACAGACCTGACTGAGAGGAGGCTCTTGTGGTACCATACATAACTCTCGTCTCTCTCTCCCACCCCAGATGAATTGGTCAGCTTCAGACCACTGAGGGAGTAGAGGAAGGGAAAGGAGAGAGAGGAGAGGAATGAGAGGAGAGGAGAGGAGAGTAAGATGAGAGGAGATTCCGGATCGGATAGATATATGATATGAGAAGTATATGAGGAGTATAGGGGAGCTGATCATTACTTTCTAGGAGATGAGATGATCGTATAGTTGGCGTTTCTTCCTTATTTTTTGTTTTGGCAGTACGAAACACATCACAATACAGCAACACTTCCTCATCCAGTGTGTCGGACAGAAGATTTATTAACAAAAGACATTGTCCTTCTAGGATCTGGTCCTGAGTTTGAGAAGGGAACTTTACTGGAGACAGAGGGCAAGAAGGAGACATGGGGGGTTGGAAAAGTCTTCAGCGGTGCCAGCCAGTGAGAAGGGGAAATGGTTGTTGTGAGTGGTTGGCACTGGTCCCTTTGTTTGTTGGCTAGAGTAAAGGACACATCCTTCTTCATCCTCACTTCTCTCCCCTCTTCCCCCCCTCTCTCCTTCTCTCCTCGCTTCTTCCTCCGTTCGTGTTAGGTGCCCAGTTGCAACGTCATTTTCTCTCCTTTCTCCTTACTATTATCCCTCCCTCCTTGTCCTCTTGTCGTCCCCTCCACTATCCCTCCCTCCTCTCCCTCTCCTCTGTCTTCTCTGTCTCAGTTCATTTCGATGTGTTGAAAACCCATCTGTAAACTTCTTGATTTTGGCACAGAGCTCTGGGACTGCCTCCCTGCAGCGTTGGTTATCCCCTCCCCACACAAAGCCTTCTTGATCTGCATTGGAGACGCAAACGAACAGCTTTCTCCTCAGGCTCCTATACAGGGAGGGAGAGGAGGGAAGTAGAGGGAGAAGGAGAAATAATGGGAGGGATAGAGAAGTAGAGGGATAGAGAGAGGAGAGAGAGGAGAGGTAGAGAGAGGAGAGGAGATAAGTAGAGAGAGGTAGAAGAGGTACTCCTGTCGCTCGCTTCTCTCCTTTCTCTCTCCTCTCTCTCTCTCTCTCCCTCCTTTCCCCCGCCTCTTCCCTTCTTTTTTGTTCTCTGCCTTCTCTCTTTGGCTCGCTTTCTCTCGTCGCTCGTGCTCGGGCGCGGCGCTTGTCCGTCGCTTTCTCTCCTCTCGTCTCTCGTTCGCCCTCCGGTTCGCTGCGCCGCTCGCGCGTCTGCGCGTTCCGCGCGTCCGTCGTCTCGGGATTTATGCGCGCACTTGCCGCTCGCGACGTCGCGGCGCGTCGCGTCTCGCGCGGTCGCGCGCCTGCGCGTTCGCGCGGGGCGCGCGGTCCTCGCGCGGCGCGCGGTCCCGCGCGGCGCGCTGGTGGGCGCGCGCGGCGCGCGCTCGCGCTGCGCCGTTCGCGGCCCCGGCGCGCGGTTCGACGCGCCGCGGTCGCGCCGGTCGCCCTCGCGCGGCCGCGCTGCTTCGCCTCGGCTCGCGGTCGCGCGGCGCTTTCGCGCTGCCCGCTCGCGCGCGGCTCGCTGGTCTCTCGCGTCCTCAGTCGCGCTCGCTCTTTCCCGCTCTGTCTCTCTTTGCTCGCTTTCTCTCGTTTTCGCTCGCTTTCTCTCTTCGTCATATCTCGCCGCTCTCGCTCTTTCGCTCGCTTCTCTCTCTCGCTCTCTCGCCTTCCGTCGCTCTCTCTCTCTCTCTCTTCTCTCGCTCTCTCTCGCCTCTCGCGTGTTCCTTCTTCTCCCTTTCTCCTCGTTCGTCTCTTCGCTCTTTCTCTCTCTTCGCTCTCTTTCTCCTCTCTCCTCGGTCACTGGCGGCTCCCGCGTACCTCGCGACCGTAGCGAGCGGTCGCGATCGGCGCGCTGTCGAGCGCGTGTTCTCTGTGTCTCTCTCGTCTCTCCTGCGTCTCGTTGTCCCTTTCGCTCGCGGCCGCCGTCTGCTCCGCTCGCTCGTATCTCCTTCTCTCTCTCTACTCTCTCATCTCTTCTCGCCTCTCGTTTCTCTCGCTCTATCTCTCTTTCTCTCTCTCTCACTCTCCACGCTCGCTCGCGCGCTCCCTCTCGCCTTTGTTTCTTCCTCTCTCATTCTCTGCTTTTTCTCTCTGCCCCGCTTTCTCTCCCGCTGCCTTCTCCTCCTCCTCGCTCTCTCTGCTCTCTATCGCCGTTTCGCGCCAAACGTCTCTGTTCGCGCGTTCGCTCTCTCGGACTCGTTCTCTCGCTGGGCCTCTGTTTTCGCGCGCTTCTACTCTTCCTCGCTCTCCTTTCCCTCTCTGCTCTCTGGTTTTCTCTTCTTCTCTCTTCTCTCTTACTCTCTGTTCCTCTTACGCTCCTCCGATCGCTCTCGTCCCTGCCTCTCTGCGCTCTCGTCCCTCTTCTCTCTTTATCTCTCCTTTCTCTCTTCCCGACTTCTCTCCGCTTCCCTGTCTTTCTCTCTCTTCTCGCTTCCCGCCTCTTCGCTCTTTCCCTCTCTCTCCCTTTCCCTCCGCGATCTGTTCTCTCTCCTTTCTCTCTTCAGGTGTGACCCTATATGCTCTGTCTCCTACTCTTATCTCCTCTCCTTCTACTCTCTTCGCGTTTCTCGCCGTCTCATGCCACTCTTCTCTTCTCTCTTTCTCCTCTCTACTCTTTCGCGTCTCTTCCTCTTTGCTCCTCTCCCTCTTTTTCTACTCTCTTGCATCTTAACTCTGGACTCCTCTCCGACTTGCTCTGGCTCCGCTCTCTCACCTCAGTCAAACTCTTCTTGCTCTCTTTGCATAGATCACTCTTCAGGAGGGTCGATCTGCTTGCTCATACAGTTCGCGTCTCTTATTCTCTAGGAAGGAGTCCTTGGCTCTCCTTTAGGCTCAAAAAGGGAGGGGAAGCCTTAACTTCATTCCTATTCTTCATGGCGGTTCTCTCTCTTCGAATAATCGGCCGTCTATCTGCACTGGTTCCTCTACTCTAGCATCCTCTAGGAGTTGGGTCGTCCTTATTTCTCTCCCGCGACTTCCTCGTCTCTTCCTCTTCTTCTCCGACTGCGTGTCGCCGATCTTGAGTCCAAAACTGCGGTGTACATCTCTCGTTCCTCTCCTCTTCTCTCTTTCCCTCTCTTCCTCCTGTTCCCCTCTCTCTTCTTTCCCTATCTCTCCTCTTTTTTTTTCTTTCCGCTGTCCTCGTTTCCTCCTTGACTATCTCAATTTTATTCCTTCCGTAATCCCTTTCTCTCTTGTGGCTCGTCGCTCTATCCGCCGTACTTCTTTTTGCTCTCTGCGCCCCTTTCTTCTACTCTCTCCATCTCTTCTTCTCTCTCTCTCTGCTTCTCCCGCTTCTCGCTTACTTCGCTCCCCTGTATCTCTCTAGATCCTCTACCTCTACTTTCTTGATCGCCTCTTTCTCACCTCTCTACTCTTTCTCTTTCGCTCCTTCTCGCGCTCGCTCCTTCCCTCCTTGCTCGCGGCGCTCTTAGATCGGTGAGAATAGCGAGAGAGAGAGGAGAGATAGAGAGTTAGAAGCTAGCGCAGCGGTATCATCGCGAGAGGTCAGAGATGCTTGAGAAGAGAGAGAAAGCGAGCGCGAGCGCGTCTCTCTACGCGCTCTCTCTCGGCCTTCTCTCTCGTCCGCCGCTCCCTCTCTAGTCTTCTCCCTTCTCTCCTTCAGTATTCTCTCTCCTACTTTCGCTCTCTTTGTCCGCTGTATCCCTTGCCTATTCCTCCTCTCACTATCCCTCGTGTCTCGGAGCTACCATGCTCCCTCTTTGCGCGCCTTCCTCCTTTTCTACTTCTTCTACTCTCTCGCTCTCTCCCCTTTCTTCCTCTTGTTCTTCTCGCTCTTTATGCTCTCTCGCCCTCGGTCGCGCCTTCGGCCCGTTCCAATCCGCTCCGCTTTCTCCTCTCACACTCTCTTCCTCTACTCTCCTCTCCTCTCGCTCCTTTCTTCTCTCTCTCGCCCCTGCTTTACTCTCGCGTCCTTCTCGTTCTCCTCGGCGCCGCTGTCTCTCGCGCCCCTCTTCTTCGTTCTGCTCTTCTCTCTCGGCTGCGTTTTCTCTCTCCTCTCTCTCTATCTCTCCTCTTTTCTTCTTTCTCTCCTCTCGTTCTCTTGCCCCGTCCCGTCTTTTCCTCTTTAGAGTCAGCAACAGCAACAACAGATTGTAGCTAAAACACTGTGAATGACACAAACTGCTGATTCACTAACTAAAAGGACAGAAAACTTGTGGACCAGTTTTGTTTCCAACACTCCTGCTCATATCCCTGAGCCTTGAAAGCAAATTACACCCTGTCCTGATCGAAACCATAGTAGTTTTGACAAACCCCTCCACCAAACATAGAGAGCGGAGGCAGCTAGAGCTGATGAAGCTGAAAGTATCTTTCAGAAAGGAAGAAGAAGAAGTTTGACTGTGTCTGTGTGTGTGTGTGTGTGTGTGTGTGTGGTGTGTGTGTGTGTGTGTGTGTGTGTGTGTGTGTGTGCGTATCAATGCAAGCGGCAGTACACACACACCAATCTGTTCATCCAGAGTAGTCCATTAGTTTGTGCCTTGTTGTTTTCGTGGGTAGTTTCTGAGTTAAGTGCATGTATTGATTTGTGTGGTTATTGATGGCCATTTTTCCCATCAATTTGCTGAAACGATGACAGTGAGAGAGGAGACTTGTGTTGTGTGTGTGTGTGTGTGTGTGTGTGTGTGTGTGTGTTACCTTCTTCAGGTCATCCTGCAGCATCCTAACCATGGCTTCCAGCTTGGTCAACTTCCTCTCCAGACCTGCAGGACCCTCACTGGGGGTGAACAGACATCCAACCACATGAGATCTCTCATCCTCTAATAACACATCCAACCACATGAGATCTCTCATCCTCTAATAACACATCCAACCACATGAGATCTCTCATCCTCTAATAACACATCCAACCACATATCCATCCTCTAACATCCACCCATTATATTCTCATCCTAATAACACATCCAACCACATGAGATCTCTCATCCTCTAATAACACATCCAACCACATGAGATCTCTCATCCTCTAATAACACATCCAACCACATGAGATCTCTCATCCTCTAATAACACATCTGGTAACATACATCCAACCACATGAGATCTCTCATCCTCTAATAACACATCTGGAATAACCAGTGTGAAACACACACCAAACCACTGAGATCTCTCATCCTCTAATAAACATCTGGTAATAACTCAGGGTGTGAACCACATGAGATCTCTCATCCTCAAATAACACATCTGGTAAAAAACTCAGGGTGTAAACCCACTGAGATCTTCATCCTTAATAACACATCTGGTAATAACTCAGGGTGTGAACCACATGAGATCTCTCATCCTTAATACACATCTGGTAATAACTCAGGATGTAAACCCACATGAGATCTCTCATCCTCTAATAACCATTGTAATAACTCAGGGTGTGAACCACATGAGACTCTATTCCTCTAATAACACATCTGGAAATAACTCAGGTGTAAAACCACATGAGATCTCTATCCTCTAATAACCTTTGGTAATAACTCAGGGTTGTAAAACCACATGAGATTCTCTCATCCTCTATAACACATCTGGTAATAACCCCAGGGTGTGAACCACGAGATCTCTCATCCTCTAATAACACTTTCTGTAATAATCAGGGTGTGAACCACATGAGATCTCTCATCCTCTAATAACACATCTGGTAACTAACTCAGGGTGTGAACCACATGAGATCTCTCATCCTCTAATAACACATCTAGTAATAACTCCAGGGTGTGAACCACATGAGATCTCTCATCCTCTAATAACACATCTGGTAATAACTCAGGGTGTGAACCACATGAGATCTCTCATCCTCTAATAACACATCTGGTAATAACTCAGGATGTGAACCACATGAGATCTCTCATCCTCTAATAACACATCTGGTAATAACTCAGGGTGTGAACCACATGAGATCTCTCATCCTCTAATAACACATCTGGTAATAACTCAGGGTGTGAACCACATGAGATCTCTCATCCTCTAATAACACATCTGGTAATAACTCAGGGTGTGAACCACATGAGATCTCTCATCCTCTAATAACACATCTGGTAATAACTCAGGGTGTGAACCACATGAGATCTCTCATCCTCTAATAACACATCTGGTAATAACTCAGGGTGTGAACACACACTGTTTCTTCAAGCCCTCAGAAACTATTTCAAATACTTGTAGTCTCCATCAACAGCTGCGTGAAAAGCGGTATTAAAATGCTTGGAAATAATTTCACAAAATACTGCTGCAAACATGAATGGAGATCTGTCTGGGTTACCTGGATGAAGGTCTGGATAGAGGGGCAGGCTGGATCTCCAGGTGAGGGCTGGAGGCTCCACTACCTCTGTGGTTAGGATCATTAAACACAAACCCTCTTTGGACTGGAGGGAGGAGAGAGAGAGAGAGATATGGGGAGGGGAGAGAGAGAGAGCGCGAGAGAGAGAGAGAGATATGGGGAGGGGAGAGAGAGAGAGAGAGAGAGAGAGAGAGAGAGAGAGAGAGAGAGAGAGAGAGAGAGAGAGAGAGAGAGAGAGGAGAGAGAGAGAGAGAGAGAGAGAGAGAGAGCAAGAGAGAGAGAGCGCGAGGAGAGAGAGAGAGCAAGAGAGAGAGAGCAAGAAAGAGAGAGCGAGAGAGCGAGAGGGGGGATAGAGAGAGAGGTAGGGAAGGAGGGAGAGAGGGGGGGAGAGAGGGGGGATAGAGAGAGAAGTAGGGAAGGAGGCAGAGAGAGGGAGAGTACTTCTGAGTGTAATGTTTACTGTTAATATTTATTGTTTATTTCACTTTTGTTTACTATCTACTTCACTTGCTTTGGCAATGTTAACATACGTTTCCCATGCCAATAAAGCCCTTAAATTGAATTGAATTGAGCGAGAGAGAACAGAATATGTATATATTATAAGGAGAAAAAGGTTTGTTTAGTTGGGTTAAGGTTGAGCCACAATATATATTAGACTGTAATTACTCTCATTCTCAAAGGCGTTGGCCACATCCACCATGTGGGTCCAGTCCAGGGGGCTGTCCCTGCTCTCTGAGGGGGGGAGGGGCATCAGCTCCTGGGGGAGAGGTTGTCGCTGTCGCTCAACCATCTCAGCCAATGACGTGTCAGACGCAGACAGGTCACCTGGAGAAAGAGGACAGGGGGACAGGTTAGGGCCGGAGACTAGAGGAAGACAGGCATGGTGATAATGTTGTTCAAGCATGCAACTTAGTCACTTACATTGGCTCATTTTCTGAAAAACGAAACTAGCATGCTGGTAATTCTTTTTATACTGAACACTGAAACGTTTAAGAATATTTGTACTACAACGTGTTATTCTTTTCTACCAGAAGAGGGCAGCAGACACACAGCTGCAGCCCCAAACACCACCACAGCAAAGATCATGCTCACAGAGCCCTCCTTTGGAGCTGTCACATCATTCCAAGTTGTCCACTGTTCGCGGTTGTATTTTAGAAACCAATGACGAATGTTAATATAATGTATGTCACCGAGTCAAGAACAGGTGTGTTACTCAATAGTCAGTCATCAAAAGTGTTTGTGAGCAGGGTTCACGTTAACTGGAACAGAATCCCGTACAGTCTCACCGTGGAGTTTGATCCCCAGTTTGTATGAAGGTCGTCTGAGGGGCACCCCGCGGGTGGTGGGAGAGCGTGGCAAGGTGGAGCAGCTGAACAACACGTCACTAGCCAGGGCGGGGTCTGGTTCTAGGTCCCCCAGCCTCAGGGAGGGGACACGCTGGCCCCGGTAGATACTCTCATCAGACAGGGTCCGGTGGAGAGACCGACGGGTAGGGGGCTGGCCTGAGGAGGAGGACTGGAGGGGAGCGGGAGAGGGGGAGACAGAGAGGGGGAGCGGGAGGGGGGAGACAGAGAGAGAGAGGCAGTCAGACTGATAAGTCCTGCTATTACAAGTCAATATAATAAAAACACACTTTCAATTCTAACATTATAGAAGTCCCTGGTCTGCTGTCTGTACACTGCATGATCTCATTGTACCGACATATAAATTGTCTTGTAATAATATATACAGACAGTATATATACAGTACCGGTCAAAGGTTTTAGGACACCTATTAATTCAAGGGTTTTTCTTAATTTTTACTATTTTCTACATTGTAGAATAATAGTGAAGACATCAAAACTATGAAATAACACATATGGAATCATGTAGTAACCAAAAAAGTGTTAAACAAATCAAAATATATTTTAGATTTGAGATTCTTCAAATAGCCATCCTTTGCCTTGATGACAGCTTTGCACACTCTTGGTATTCTCTCAAACAGCTTCACCTGGAATGCTTTTCCAACAGTCTTGAAGAAGTTCCCACATATGCTGAGCACTTGTTGGCTGCTTTTCCTTCACTCTGCGGTCCAACTCATCCCAAACCATCTCAATTTGGTTGAGGTCGGGGGATTGTGGAGGCCAGATCATCTGATGCAGCACTCCATCACTCTCCTTCTTGGTAAAACAGCCCTTACACAGCCTGGAGGTGTGTTGGGTCATTGTCCTGTTGAAAAACAAATGATAGTCCCACTAAGCCCAAACCAGATGGGATGGCGTACCGCTGCAGAATGCTGTGGTAGCCATGCTTGAATTCTAAATAAACCAGCAAAGCACCCCCACACCATAACACCACCTCCTCCATGCTTTACGGTGGGAAATACACATGCGGAGATCATCCGTTCACCCACACCGCGTCTCACAAAGACACGGCGGTTGGAACCAAAAATCTCCAATTTGGAATCCAGACCAAAGGACACATTTCCACCAGTCTAATGTCCATTGCTCGTGTTTCTTGGCCCAAGCAAGTCTCTTCTTCTTATTGGTGTCCTTTAGTAGTGGTTTATTTGCAGCAATTCAACCATGAAGGCCTGATTCACACAGTCCCCTCTGAACAGTTGATGTTGAGATGTGTCTGTTACTTGAACTCTGTGAAGCATTTATTTGGGATGCAATTTCTGAGGCTGGTAACTCTAATGAATGTATCCTCTGCAGCAGAGGTAACTCTGGGTCTTCCATTACTGTGGTGGTCCTCATGAGAGCCTGTTTCATCATAGCGCTTGATGGTTTTTGCGACTGCACTTGAAGAAACGTTCAAAGTTCTTGAAATGTTCTGTATTGACTGATCTTCATGTCTTAAAGTAATGATGGACTGCCGTTTCTCTTTGCTTATTTGAGCTGTTCTTGCCATAATATGGACTTGGTCTTTTACCAAATAGGGCTATCTTTTATATACCACCCCTACCTTGTCACAACACAACTGATTGGCTCAAATGCATTAAGGAAATAAATTCCACAAATTAACTTTTAAGAAGGCACACCTGTTAATTGAAATGCATTCCAGGTGACTACCTCAAGAAGCTGGTTGAGAGAATGCCAAGAGTGTGCAAAGCTGTCATTAAGGCAAAGGGTGGCTACTTTGAAGAATCTCAAATATAAAATATATTATAAATATATATATTGGGTCTGTCTGGCCTCAGTCTCTTCATATCTTTCTCATACCCCCACCCACCCACCCTGCATGTACCTTGTCCTTGACCTTGTGTCGTCTGTGTTTGAGGGGGCTGTCTGGACTCAGTCTCTTCATCTCGTCCTCCGCAGTGGTCTTAGCGTGGGTGAGGTGTGGCTGTGGGGAGTGATGGGGTCTGCTCTGACCCCCAACCCCACCCTGACCCCCTCCTCCACCTCCACCCCCCTCTCCTCCACTTCCTCCTCCTCCCTCCCCTGGGGACTTCCTGGTAATACATCAACATGGAGGGGGTTAGAAATCAGATAACAGACATGTTAAAAAGGGTAAATACATGCTACGGCTTCAATACAGTCCTGGGAACACACACAGAACCAGTTAGGAATTTTAAACCATGCAGTGAGCCTTAAAACAAATCTAATATAATTTAATCTGGAGCAGAGTTCCTCATCACATTTCAACTCAACTTGATGTTTATAGCATTGTAATACCCCCCTTTGGCCACAAGGTGTGGATCATGTATTTCCAGAGCTCATACAAGGCTATGGTGTCACACATTCAATAGAACAACTCTCCTCCCGGTCTTACTTGCGGTTGTCTCCGAAGTCGACAGAGTTGATGGTGGATCCTGGCTTCCTCCAACCGATGAGGTACTTGGAGGTGGCTCCCTGGCGGGGGTAGAAGGTCTTGGGGCCGGGGGAGACCGACGTCTGGGAGCAGGGTGAGGTGGCAGAGGAAGAGGACTCCTCACGGGGGGAACTGTGGCCAGAATGGCCTCTGGAGCTGTGGGGTGGTGGGATAGGGGGGGAGAGGGTATGGATTCAACTAGCGGCCATTGAGGGCAAAAATACTGTAATTTGCCAATTACATAATCTAGATTTTGAGCTGGCATGGACATAATCTAGACTTTGAGCAAAAACACATTTCTGCAGGGGTTGAAATCTACAGATTACGCAGTGGACATGTAGAGATTACAGAGTGTTACATAGCCACCTCCCTCCCAGTCCGAACGTCACTGTACACTGGAACGTACTATCAGCTAGCTTTCATCAACATCTATCTCTGTGGTTTTGTTAACTGTGTGAGTTCTGTTCGAGTTTCAAGGCCATTATATTGTGCTTTTGAGAACACACTGTATCCCTTTATGACTGAAGATACATTATATGTCACCTCTGCTGCTTGAAAGAGAGGTGTTCTTTAATCTTAGCTAGATAGAGCGAGTGGGAGGGACCTAGCAAATATCATGGTTAAAAGATTCGATGAGAGTGAGGTTTTGAAAAAGGTTATGCGTTTGCGTGTGTGTGTGTGTGTTTCTGCTGTGTGCATGTGTGTATTCAAGTCTAAACCACTGCATACCTGGAGTGTGACCCAGCATCACTCAGACTGTACGAGCTGCCATCTCTAACCAGTAGGTGTGTAGGAGGACTCCTAGCCGTCCCCTCCGCTCTCTCCCCCCTCTCCCCTGGGGGTTGTGGGGACTCCGCGGCTGGGGGGGACCTCTCTAGCACTCTCCTGTCCCCCTCAGTGGGGCTATGCCAGGGGGATGCAGCTCTATCCCTCCCCTCCCTACCCCCAGGAGCCAAGAGGGAACTTGAACTCCCATGGTGGGTGTGTGAGTGGCCCCCACCCCCTCCGTAGGACGAGGTGTCAATCCCGCTGTCGGCCGAGGCCCCCTGGAGGTACCCCCCTCCCAGGCCGTTGGGTTCAGAGTCAGGGGCCTCCCCTGGTGCTCCAGGGCCCCCCAGGTCGGACCACTTGTCGGTGTCGCTGTGGCCCCCGCTGGAGGCCGTGCTGGAGAGGGTGTTACTGCTGGAGTAGGGACCCTCAGGCTGCGGGGGGGGGGAGTAGAAAGAGTAGAGAGATGGATTAGACAGGAATCTGGACAAGAGAAACTGTCTTCAGATCAGTGATATCCTTAATCTGCAGTTATCTGAAAGACCTGGACAAGAGAAACTGCCTTCAGGTCAGTGCAGATGAAGTAGAGATGAGGAGAGAAAGTCACTTTGGACTATTGACATGCATCCCAAATGGTTAAATGGGTGGCTTAAGAAGTATGTATGGTCCTCCACCCTGGTCGAGGTGAGGACAGGGGAGTGTGGCGCAGAATGAAGCCTGACCTGGGAGCTCTTCTTGGGGGAGTGGTGGATGACCTGCTCCTGCCTCTGGATGCGTGGAGCTCCGGAGTACCCAGGACCAGACTTAGACACAGGAGCATCTAAAAACACACACAAGAGTTTGAGGTTAGCAACAGTGCAAGGAAACACACACACACACACACACGTTCACACAACATTTTGTACCACAGACTTTCGTACACGGTCCAGATATATTGATAATCTAGTTAACATTATTCCACAGGCATACGTACAGTGCGTGTGACGATCGTCCTATGATCTCAAAGACATGCCTTATATAAATAACCAGACATTTGATGATGGGTTAATAATGGTATGGTCCACATTGAATCTTCTACTTGATGATTGGTTAATAATGGTATGGTCCATATTCAACCTGATACTTGATGATTGGTTAATAATGGTATGGTCCACATTGAATCTACTACTTGATGATTGGTTAATAATGATATGGTCCACATTGAACCTTCTACTTGATGATTGGTTAATAATGGTATGGTCCACATTGGATCTTCTACTTGATGATTGGTTAATAATGGTATGGTCCACACTGAACCTTCTACTTGATGATTGGTTAATAATGGTATGGTCCACATTGAACCTTCTACTTGATGATTGGTTAATAATGATATGGTCCACATTGAACCTGATACTTGATAATTGGTTAATAATGGTATGGTCCATATTGAACCTGATACTTGATGATTGGTTAATAATGGTAAGGTCCATATTGAACCTGATACTTGATGATTGGTTAATAATGATATGGTCCACATTGAACCTGATACTTGATAATTGGTTAATAATGGTATGGTCCATATTGAACCTGATACTTGATGATTGGTTAATAATGGTAAGGTCCATATTGAACCTGATACTTGATAATTGGTTAATAATGGTATGGTCCATATTGAACATGCTACTTGATAATTGGTTAATAATGGTATGGTCTATATTGAACCTGATACTTGATAATTGGTTAATAATGGTATGGTCCATATTGCTCTGATACTTGATAATTGGTTAATAATGGTATGGTCCATATTGAACCTGATACTTGATGATTGGTTAATAATGGTATGGTCCATATTGAACCAGCTACTTGATAATTGGTTAATAATGGTATGGTCCATATTGAACCTTACACTTAATAATGGTATGGTCCATATTGAACCTGATACTTGATAATTGGTTAATAATGGTATGGTCCATATTGAGGGTTCCCAGGTAGGGTATTTAAGCCTTGACATTTCTGTCTAAGCCTGGCAGGGGACAGGTGATGTTGAGGACTAGTCATTTCTGTCTAGGCCTGGCAGGGGACAGGTGTTGTGGAGGACTAGTCATTTCTGTCTAGGCCTGGCAGGGGACAGGTGTTAATGAGGACTAGTAATTTCTGTCTAGGCCTGGCAGGGGACAGGAGAGGTTGAGGACTAGTCAATTCTGTCTAGGCCTGGCAGGGGACAGGTATTAATGAGGAATAGTCATTTCTGTCTAGGCCTGGCAGGGGACAGGTTTTATTGAGGACTAGTCAATTCTGTCTAGGCCTGGCAGGGGACAGGTATTAATGAGGAATAGTCATTTCTGTCTAGGCCTGGCAGGGGACAGGTGTTATTGAGGACTAGTCATTTCTGTCTAGGCCTGGCAGGGGACAGGTGATGTTGAGGACTAGTCAATTCTGTCTAGGCCTGGCAGGGGACAGGTGTTGTGGAGGACTAGTCATTTCTGTCTAGGCCTGGCAGGGGACAGGTGTTAATGAGGACTAGTCATTTCTGTCTAGGCCTGGCAGGGGACAGGTGAGGTTGAGGACTAGACAATTCTGTCTAGGCCTGGCAGGGGACAGGTATTAATGAGGAATAGTCATTTCTGTCTAGGCCTGGCAGGGGACAGGTGATGTTGAGGACTAGTCAATTCTGTCTAGGCCTGGCAGGGGACAGGTGTTAATGAGGCCAGGTTTGTTTGGTCTATTTGAGCTCAACCTTTTATTTGATTTATCCCCAGTTTATGTTCCTGTTGCAAATTCCAGTTAGTTACTTTCTTTTGTAAATCATTGTAAAGTTCTCGCTGACTTAATATCTTCACGTTTGCTAATGAAAGCCTCATTCTGGGCAAGAAAAGTAAAGAACTGCTGTTGCCGCCTCACAATAAAATCCTACTGCATGGTCAACCTCAAAGTGTGTGTGCCTGTGTGTGTGCGTACAGTGCATTCGGAAAGTATTCAGACTCCTTGACTTTTTCCACATTTTGTTACGTTTTTTAAATTTTTTAAATTTTAGTCATTTTTTAGCAGACGCTCTTATCCAGAGCGACTTACAGTTAGTGAGTGCATACATTTTTATTTTTTATTTTTTTCATACTGCCCCCCCGTGGGAATCGAAACCACAACCCTGGCGATGCAAACGCCATGCTCTACCAACTGAGCTACATCCCTGCCGGCCATTCCCTCCCCTACCCTGGACGACGCTGGGCCAATTGTGCGCCGCCCCATGGGTCTCCCGGTCGCGGCCGGCTACGACAGAGCCTGGATTCGAACAAGGATCTCTAGTGGCACAGCTAGCACTGCGATGCAGTGCCTTAGACCACTGCGCCAATTCGGGAGGTTACAGCCTTATCCTAAAATAGATTAAATTGTTTTTTTCCCCTCCTCATCAATCTACACACAATACCCCATAATGACAAAGCAAAAACAGGTTTGTGGAAAGTTTTGCAAATGTATAAAAAATAAAACACGGAAATATTACATTTACATAATTACTCAGACCCTTTACTCAGTACTTTGTTGAAGCACCTTTGGCAGTGATTACAGCCTCGAGTCTTCTTGGGTATGAAACTACAAGCTTGGCACACCTGTATTTGGGGAGTTTCTCCCATTCTTCTCTGTAGATCCTCTTAAACTCTGTCAGGTTGGATGGGGAGCGTCGCTGCACAGCTATTTTCAGGTCTCTCCAGAGATGTTAGATCGGGTTCAAATCCGGGCTCTGGCTGGGCCCCTCATGGACATTCAGAGACTTGTACTGAAGCCACTCCTACGTTGTCTTGGCTGTGTGCTTAGGGTCGTTGTCCTGCTGGAAGGTGAACCTTCACCCCAGTCTGAGGTCCTGAGCACTCGGGAGCAGGTTTTCATCAAGGATCTCTCTGTACTTTGCTCCGTTCATCTTTCCCTTGAACCTAACTACAGTCGTGGTCAAACGTTTTGAGAATGACAAGTGTTGGTCTTCACAAAGTTTGCTGCTTCAGTGTTAGATATTTTTGTCAGATGTTACTATGGTATACTGAAGTATAATTACAAGCATTCCATAAGTGTCAAAGGCTTTTATTGACAATTACATTAAGTTTATGCAAAGAGTCAAAATTTGCAGTGTTGACCCTTCTTTTTCAAGACCTCTGCAATCCGCCCTGGCATGATGTCAATTAACTTCTGGTCCACATCCTGACTGATGGCATTCTTGTATAATCAATGCTTGGAGTTTGTCAGAATTTGTTGGTTTTTGTTTGTCCACCCGCCTCTTGAGGATTGACCACAAGTTTTCAATGGGATTAAGGCCTGGGGAGTTTCCTGGCCATGGACCCAAAATGTTGATGTTTTGTTCCCCGAGCCACTTAGGTATCACTTTTGCCTTATGGCAAGGTGCTCCATCATGCTGCAAAAGGCATTGTTCGTCACCAAACTGTTCTTGGATGGTTGGGAGAAGTTGCTCTCGGAGGATGTGTTGGTACCATTCTTTATTCTTGGCTGTGTTCTTAGGCAAAATTGTGAGTGAGCCCACTCCCTTGGCTGAGAAGCAACCCCACACATGAATGGTCTCAGGATGCTTTACTGTTGGATTAACACAGGACTGATGGTAGCGCTCACCTTGTCTTCTCCGGACAAGCTTTTTTCCGGATGCCCCAAACAATCGGAAAGGGGATTCATCAGAGAAAATGACTTTACCCCAGTCCTCAGCAGTCCAATCCCTGTACCTTTTGCAGAATATCTGTCTGTCCCTGATGTTTTTCCTGGATAGAAGTTGCTTCCTCGCTGCCCTTCTTGACACCAGGCCATCCTCCAAAAGTATTCACCTCACTGTGCGTGCAGATGCACTCACACCTGCCTGCTGCCATTCCTGAGCAAGCTCTGCACTGGCAGTGCCCCGATCCCGCAGCTGAATCAACTTTAGGAGATGGTCCTGGTGCTTGCTGGACCTTCTTGGGCGCCCTGAAGCCTTCTTCACAACAATTGAACCTCTCTCCTTTAAGTTCTTGATGATCCGATAAATGGTTGATTTAGGTGCAATCTTCCTAGCAGCAATTTCCTTGCCTGTGAAGCCCTTTTTGTGCAAAGCAATGATGACGGCACGTGTTTCCTTGCAGGTAACCATGGTTAACAGAGGAAGAACAATGATTTCAAGCACCACCCTCCTTTTAAAGCTTCCAGTCTGTTATTCTAACTCAATCAGCATGACAGAGTGATCTCCAGCCTTGTCCTCGTCAACACTCTCACCTGTGTTAACAAGAGAATCACTGACATGATGTCAGCTGGTGCTTTTGTGGCAGGGCTGAAATGCAGTGGAAATGTTTTTGGGGGATTAAGTTCACTTTCATGGCAAAGAGGGACTTTGCAATTAATTGCAATTCATCTGATCACTCTTCATAATATTCTGGAGTATATGCAAATTACCATCATAAAAACTGAGGCAGCAGACTTTGTGAAAATTCATATTTGTGTCATTCTCAAAACCTTTGACCACGACTGTAGTTTCCCAATCCCTGCCGCTGAAAAACATCCCCACAGCATGATGCTGCCACCACCATGTTTCACCGTAGGGATGGTGCCAGGTTTCCTCCAGACGTGACGCTTGGCATTCAGGCCAAAGAGTTCAATCTTGGTTTCATCAGACCAGAGAATCTTGTTTCTCATGGTCTGAGAGTCCTTTCGGTGCCTTTTGGCAAACTCCAAGCGGGCTGTCATGTGCATTTTACTGAGGAGTGGCTTCCGTCAGGCCACTATATCATAAAGTCCTAATTGGTGGAGTGCTGCAGAGATGGTTGTCCTTCTGGAAGTTTCTCCCATCTCCACAGAGGAACTATGGAGCTCTGTCAGG